GGAGGGCGTGCCTCTCTTGATTAACCACTACTAGTTATATCGAAATACATAGTAAACCTAGGACATAGTGCGAGTAGTGTAGTGACGCTCATATGTCGAAATAGTGCACAAGGTGTTCATCCATCTCACTCATTTCACGAGTGGCTTTTTTTGCTCTCTGTTCTGCTGAGGCTGCCCTAGCTTCGACTGCAATGAGCTGTTGTCTGATAGTGGCCACTTCCTCATCCAAGGAGCGTAGACGGTCGGTAGGGTCCTCCCGTACTGTGTGTTGGTTTGGTACTGTTTCCGAAGGGTAAGGTTCGCTAAGGATCCCTCCGGTACCTTCATCCTCGTCTGTCTCCTCATCAGAATTTTCCCCCTCGTAGTCCATTTCTTGGTATCCACTTCTAGGCTCTCCCCTTGAATCTCTTCTGGTTCTTCCTCGATCCATTCGTTGGCCACTATGGCAAGGTGGTAAGGGTCTTTGTGGTGAAACTCAGCCATGTTGCCTACGCGAGAATAGGGTGTGAGAAACGTGTAGAAGGTCTAAGTACGAGGGTTATATGGTATCCTAAAATACTCCTATAGTATTTTCATTCCTTTTAGTTTTGTTCTTAGACTCTTGTGGTTTTAGGTTGGTAAGTTTTAGACTTGTTGCCACACCCTCCCAAACACATGTTGGTCGTATCTCAAATAAATATAGTTGATCAGGCTATATTTATCCCATATATGATTACATACTGTCCAGGTTTGACTGTAGTGCTCAACATCTAGATACTTTTGTTTTGTTCTTATTATGATACGGTTCTAGCAAGTATATATACTTTTAGAAAATACTTATATCTTTAAGATATACTTTTAGTCAGAGTGTTTTAGTCTCATTGTATTTATAGTTGTATATCTTGTATGGTTAGATATACTAGTTCACTATAAACAATGCTCTGATACCAATCTGTCACACCCCTGAACCAGGACGGCGGAAATGTCCGGGGGCGATTGACGTCATAGCGTAATATCATAGTAGTTGAATATAAATGATACATAGCAACCAACATCATACATTACAATATACCACCATTCGTTGTTTACAAATTTTACTTGTTCTTCGATTACACAAAAATACATAAAGTATGATGTCTCAAAAAGATAGCAAAAATATCCCGATCCAAGGCTCGAGTACCTGTTCACTGAGTCCCTGAGAATACAAGTCGTTTTAAAAAGCATTAACATAGAATGTTGGTGAGTTCATAAGCATATTTGTAAGAAAACTTTGTAACATCTTGGTTTATAGTAAGTTGTAAAACTACAGAAAATCCAATATTTTCAAAAAAAAAGTAGTTTGTGAGTCTCGTTCCAAAACCGTGTATAGTTGCATGCATGTTCTTTATTTTCCTTTGTTTGTATTAGAAAGAGTGTATTCCCAGAAAATCCTATATTTTTTGTATATAAAAGAGTTGTGGTCTTAAAACCCTAAGACCCGGGCGGTGAATTCAGTTTACAAAGTATACGAAACATAGTTTGGTGTTTTGTAAAACTAGTAGAGTGTAAATTCTTTGTAAATTCAAATAATGTTGTTATTCTCTATGTGAGTCGTTACAACCATACTAATATGACGATAGTGCCTGTCATGATGTTCTTCAGGCGTCGGTTTCTAAAGATAATTGTCACCCTAGACTGGCATGTCTAGCTGTAGCGAACAACTTAGGTGTGGGGGTGTCAACCCCATATAGATCTATACACAATATCCCGCTCTCCTTCCAGGAGACTCTAGTTATAACTACAGGACTTACGATGTACACTAGGTAGGTACGAGTGAAAGAGTGCCTCACAAGAGCCTTAACGGAAATTTACGCGAATATTGAATTCCATTATTTAACGTTATAAATAATGTTACTAGTGTATATTTTCGATTACAAATTATAACACGCAATAATTCCTGTCGTAATTTATACGGTTTACTAGGAGTGTTTAAAAATAGCCCATTTTTACCATAAGTGTCAAAAATAGCCCATTTTTACCATAAGTGTCAAAAATAGCCCAATTTCACCATAAGTGTCAAAAATAGCCCATTTTACCATAAGTGTCATAAAAGACCCATTTTTACTAAAGTTGTCATAAATGGCCCTTTTTCACTAGTTTTTGAGATAAAATGCAATATCTCCAAAATGTTACCATTTTTAGTGTAAATTCTCATATTTTACCAACTTCCAAACCTTTTTACACCCACATGTGTTTTAATATTTTTCCTTGGCATTATGGTGATTTTATCACACTTCACAGATAACACATAAAACATATAAACTACACAAAATAATTTGTTTCCAACAACTTGAGACTTATACAAATCTCGAGTTTATGAACTTTTAGCATGAGATCACAACATTTCACACACATAACATATAACACATACACATGCAAGCAAATATCCATGGATTTTAAACAAGATTTTGACTTGTATTCCCCCCCCCCCTCAAAGAAGGAAAACTCGAAAACAAGATGTATGAAGCTCGCCTTGGGGCTTTTTCGGTTTTGAAGAGGAAGATGGAGAAGGTTTTCGGCCCTAGCTTGCTTCCTTGAGGAGATTTTCGAGATCAAGGTGGTTCTAGGAAGCATGGACACGAAAATGGAGGGTAAGAAGCATTTTTAGTGTAACTTGGAACAAAACTAAGGAGTTTGTCAAAAAAAACTTACCAAGTTTGTGGAGTTTGGATGAAGTCTTCTTTGAATACACACACACTCACACGAAAATTATGGAGAGAAAGGATGTGAAGATGTTGATTGTAGAGAGGAAATGAGATAATGTGAAACTTTGGAAATGAAAATGGAGAGGGAATGGTGGTGGTGTTCGACCGATTATGAGGGAGAGAAGAGAGAGATTAGGGCATAGATACATGTTGGTCCATAATCTCATGCATGGAAGTATGATATGTAATTAGCATGGTTATTTTTTGTACATTAATGAGGTGTCACCATGTTTATCCAATGTAATTTTTTTTATTTATAAAACCGATCGGATTTTATGGAGGGAAAGAAATTTGGGCTTGTTTTTCAAGGTTGGCCGAAAACACCTTAGGCCCATTAAGGGTTTTCGGCTTATGTGGGTTTTTGGGCTTGGCTCGGGCCCAAGGAAGGTTTCGGCCCAATAATAGGTCCAAAAGAAATGGATTAAGCCCAATAAATATTTTTGGTTTAGTGAGAGGGCCCAATAGGGATTTTTGACCCATTAAGGCCCATATACGGTTTTTCGGCCCAAAGAGATTAAATGGAAGAGTTTTCGGCCCAATGGGAGGCCCAATATAAAGGTCAATTAGGGCTTTTGGCCCAAAAAGGGCCCAATAGCGGTTTTCGGCCTCGGAAGGCCCATTAGAGAGTTTTCTGGCCCAAAATAATGCCTAATAGAGGTATTTGGCCCATTAGCGTCTAAGAATAAATTCTTGCAGCCCAATAAGGCCCACTAAGGGTTTACGGCCCAAATGATCAATTGGAAGGGCTGCCGGCCCATTAGGGCCCAATAAGAAGGTCTTGGTCCATTAAGAGGTTTGAACTGAGAAAGCTTGGGTTAAGGCCTAATGTTGAGTGGACATAGCTTATTGGGTTAGGTTTTGGGCTTACACGAGAAGGTTTCGACTAAAATCACAATTTTTGGATGTATAAACTTAGATAGCATTTAAGTTTGATTATACTAAGCGTAGTGTTACAGGGTTACATAAAGAAGTTATCATGTAAAAGTATGGAAATCATAACCCTAATTTGCTAGTTGTGACACATTTCCACCACTAATGATGTATTGTAACCATTCAAGGATGAAATGACAACCTCATGATGTTCTAGAGAGTATTCCAAACATCCAAAACTCATTCAAACCATTTGTTTGATAATTCCACCATGGATAAGGCTTTAAATTTTAAATCCTCACCAAAACTCTATCAAAACCAATTAGGTTTTGGCCTAATAAATATTAGGAGTTCAAATATCGAAGTCATTCATGAATCCACCAACTAATCATTATTTTATTGCTTATCATCAGATTTGGGGCTCAAACTTAAACCCTAGGTTCGAATTTTAGTCATGGGAAGGAAGAAATTCAACCTTAGAGCTTGATGTTTGGTTCCCTAGTTTCACAATCATCATCTATCATAAAAAAAGCTAGCTTTGGATCTCTCTTCTTCTTCAAAATCACCACTGAAGATCTCTCCCCTCTCCAAATCATGATTTCCACACATCTAATTAGCACATTCTTCGGCTGCTTGAAATATTTAGTCCTTCCAGTTTTATATTTTCCCAATAATGATACTATCCCTCCTATTTACTAATGTAACTTATCTATTCACACATAAGCACCATTTTATCATATCTCTAACAATTACGTAAAATATGTTTCATAGTTAGCATTAAAGTTTGAGAACATGATAGTTTTAGTCTATCATCTACATTTCTCCATATTTAAGGTCTGAATCACTTATCCTCATAATGATTAAATTATAACTATTCCACTTTCACTTTATTTATTTATTACTTATTTATATTTATTTTAATATAGTTAATTTTTTTTAACCAAAAAGGGCAAAACTTGTAAACCTGTTTTAAGGATGCTACAATTACCCACCCTTAAGAATGATTCCGTCTTCGAAGGGCGTTTGTGATTGCCTTTTGAACTCTACGATTGCTTGGTGACTTCTGGTGGTGGCGAAATGAATTTTCAAAAAAAGAATGTTTGAATAAGCTTTTGTGGTGACAAAAGTCAATACGTCAATAATTTAAAAAATATTTGACTTAAAATCTCATTTTTGAAGCTATATTATGGTTAAAAAAGTTAAAAAAAAACCAAGTTTTATTGCTTTTTACAATCACTTTTAAAAATTAATGGAAAACTAATTTAAAAATGCTTTTTAATTTACCAAACACTTTATTTAATATTAAATTTATTAACTTTTAAAAAATCCAATAAATTATTTTGAAAAGGAATCCCAAACCACTAATACAACATATGTCTATATTATTTTTGTTCAAAAAAAATATGATTTATATGTTTATGTTATCATAATGTAAGAACTTACCCTTTGCGATCCAACGAATCGCTACTTTAGTCGCCAAGGAAAGAGTTCACAGGTCCAGCAAGACGAATCCAGGTTTCCATCAGAATCGAGATTTCGAGAGAGAAAGAAAAGCTACGGAGCACAAAGAGATTATCAAATATCACAATCAGTCGATCATCATCATCATCATCATCATCATCATGTGGCTCTTCTATCTGATCTCGTTTCCGTTAACCCTAGGCATGGTTGTGCTTACGCTCAAGTACTTTGCTGGTCCTGATGTTCCTCGCTATGTCTTCTTCACCGTCGGCTACACTTGGTTCTGCTCTATCTCCGTCATCATACTCGTACCTGCCGACATTTCTTCCGTAATTTTTCTTCCTATTTCTCTCTTCTTCCTTCATCTGTCTTTTGTAAGCTACAATTTGATTGCATGAATTGTTGACTGATAACACTCTTCTGCATAGGAGTTTACTTATGTTCCTCCTTTTACCTATGTGTAGGGTTGATTCCTGATCAGTTGCTAGGTCGTTCTAGGTATTCCAGGATGTAGAGATATACTGATACAATACCTAAAAACTGTCACCTCCTCATTCTTCATTAATCAGTCTAATGATGCTGCTCCATGAAATTCTTTTCTATACCACCTTAAAGGAAGAACATTAATCATTCTATTGATAGGTTTGTTCGTATTGTTTCATATTTTTTTATAGATAAAAGAACTTAATTCTTGAGATATCACAAGCAAATAAGGTGTGAATACGAATTCTCATTTAAACTTTTGTCATAATGCATTCGAATCATATCCCATAGAGAATTTCTTAGGTTCCTATTCATTCTACATGGTAGTGGGCAATGCATGAGTTGATCACTAACACGAGTTAACCATTGATGCTTAATTAACATTGACATTAATAACACAAACAATTGGCACTCAGATTAACTTTAACTAGAAATCTTCACTTAAGATCAGCAAAATATCAACAACATTCACTTATCCTCAATCACTTGTATAATCAGCTTGATTCCCAGAAAGTTTTTTTCAAGAACAGAGGAGGGATTATTAAAAGGGTTCACACGATCTGTAGTCCCCAAAAATTGATTGAAGTGCATAACAAATTGCTTGAAGTACCTAACAATTTGCTCAGCATGTTTTGGTTGTCATTTTCAACTTCTTAGCGACTTCAAACATATTAAATTTCCGCATCTAAGTCTCTCCCAAATAGAATTTGAGCGTATGGTTTATGAAGCTCTTGATGCATCACTTTTTTTTTTTGAGTATGGTATTATTCTTTCATTTTTTTTTTCATATAATTTAGATTTTTCTTTTTCTCTTTTATTCTACGTGTGCAGACAATTATTGGTCATGACAATGGAGGTATCTCTTTCTTTTGGAGCTGGTCATATTGGAGTACTTTCTTGCTTACTTGGTAGGTTAGGCTGTATGCTATTTTACTTCTCTATTCTGTTACTGGTCATTGTGAACTAATAATAAATGATATCACCCATTTCCTTGAATACTTTGCATTAAGGGTGATAGTGAAGCATAGCTGGCATGACATCCTGAAGTGCCTCATTATTTGATGAAAAGTTGTTAGACAAATTATCACCAAATGGTTCATATATGTTTTAAAATATATATTTTTTTCTGAGCAGGCTAGTTGTGCCCTTGATTCAGGGGGTATGAGGATGCTGGAGATTTTACTATGAGAGAGAGACTAAAGACAAGCATCCATGTGAACTTAGTCTTCTATCTTATCTTGGGTTTGATTGGGCTTGTTGGACTTATTTTGCTCATAATGATGCGAAATGACTGGTTTGTTTGTTTCTTTCTGAATAAACAAACCATTTAATGATATTTTTGATATGTTTCACATATGGATCTTCCTTAGTAAATGTCAAGTTTAATAATCTCATTAGGCTTTTTAACCTGATTCTGAAGCATGTTTTTTTACAGGAGTGGAGGCGTACTAGGTCTGGCCATGGCATGTTCAAATACTTTTGGACTTGTTACTGGTGCATTTCTACTTGGTTTTGGGTTGAGTGAGATTCCAAAGACTATTTGGAGAAATGCTGACTGGACCACTCGCCAAAAGGTTCTTTCCCATAAAATTGCCAAAATGGCTGTGAAGCTTGATGTGGCTCATCAAGAGTTATCAAAAGTGATAGCTGTAAGTACTTGTAGTATTTGCTTTTTTGGTCAAATTGTTCCATGCCAACTTGATCTTGAAATATGTTACTTCATATGGTTATATGGTTGCAATTCTGGCATTAATTATTGTATGCCATCTCTTAATGAATTAGTGACTGTGGGGAGATATGGTATCTTATTGGTTAGAAACCACTTTAAAGTTTAAAGATGGAGTTGAGCAGTTTTAAACAGCAATCCAAACCATTCAGAAGAAAGTATTTCTTCTTAGTGGTTGTTTTGGAGCCTAATTAGAGTTTTTATTCAATAAAGATTTTATGTATAATGTATATCTGCTAAATATTAAAATAGAGTGAGTTAATCCTTAATTGATATAAAAGCAAAATTTACGCTTGCTTGGTTTTTTTGCAATCTTTTATGCATCTTTAACTCTTCACTTGTGCGTTTACATCTCTTTTTAAATCTATTAATTATTTCTTTGATTTGCTGACTTTATAAATTGTATCAGGTGGCTCAGGAAACATCCAAACAAATGTCCAAGCGTGATCCATTTAGGCCCTACATGAATATTATCGATGATATGATATATCAAATGGTATATCTGCTTCTTATTATGTAACTAACAATTTCATAAGGTTCTTGCTAATGTGGCTTCTACTCTCTTCTTTCAGTTACATGAAGATCCATCCTTCAAACCAGAAGGAGGGTGTTTAGGGGATAATGATATGGATTATGATACAGATGAAAAGACTATGGCAACATTGAGGCGCCATTTAAGAGAAGCTCGTGAGGAATATTATCGATATAAAAGGTAGACTACTACTACCCTATAAAGATATGCTAATTTCAACTTTGGAAACTTATGCAACATCATCATCCATTGTATAAAACATAAGTTGAGCTTTATGTTGAGTATTGAAGTTGTCATCTTATTATACATGGGTACTTGTATAGTTGAGGATTAAATCTTCCTATTTTTGCAGTCAGTATTTGACATATGTTATCGAAGCCCTGAAATTAGAAGACACCATAAAGAATTATGAACTACGTGATGAGACCAGGTGGTATGTTTCAAAACCCATACATTTTATATTGTTTCTCATTTTAAATTATTTGCATTTGGTGATATTTTGGGAAGTTATTGCAGGAAATACATTTCAAGCTTCAGACCTGGGCGGAGTGGCACATTAGGAGGCTATCTTGATACAATGGGTAACAAAACAATCTCCTTTTTTATTCTTACTTTAAGTCAACACATTGTTTATATGTAGTTAGAGGTAAAAAAGAAAACTAGGGTTAAATGCAAGAAATAGCAACATACTTCCATTGATTTGTTTATTATAGCATTCTCTGATTTTTCCCTATTACAGCATTGTATTCTGAAAACTCTACCCTATTATAGCAATCTCATCAAATACAAAGTATTATTCACTGTCATAAACTTATAATTGTGTAGATTGTTCAAAGTACAATGCTTTAATAAGAAAAAACTGAGTTTAATGCCCTAATAAAAAGATATAACATGAGGATGCTATTACAGCATTCTAATTTGGAAAAATTTACCTAATTATTTCAATGTCATCTAAATATGAAGCAATATTCACTGTTATGATCGGGATTTTGAAAGTGCAATGTCTTAATATTCACTGTTATGATCGGGATTTTGAAAGTGCAATGTCTTAATAAGAAAAAGCTAGAAGTAGAATGCTATAATCAGATAACTTTTGCAAAGTATATTCCCTTAATAAGAAATTTGTTTTGGAAGTAGAGTGTTGTGATGAAAAGGAATGCAAGTAACAAACAAATTAATGGAAGTACATTGCTGTAATTAAGATGAAAGGGTTATTTGTAAATATAATGATTTGGGTAGGGGTGTAAGCAGAGCAAAATAAGAAGGTGGAACCTGAAAAAGAATTATTAGAAATGGTATTATTTGTAGAATTAATATGGCGATGCATTGTGTGGAGGCATCTGGAGAAAGTGTTTGCTGTGATTCTTGGGTGCATGTCAGCAGCAATTCTCTTGGCCGAGGCAACTCTCTTGCCTAGTGGTCTTCATCTATCTGTTTTTTCCCTTTTGATCAACTCTATTGGAACACAAGATATGCTTGTACAGGTATATATACTCTCTCTCTCTCTCTCTCTCTCTCTTTAAATATATATATATATATATATATATATATATATATATATATAAATTAAAAAAGGAGATTAAGAGAGAGAATTAATGGGTCTTATATGAGTAGGAACAAAATGTAGGAGGATATTTAATTTTTCTTTATTATTAATAACACGAAGCCCCTTACCAATTTCAAAAATTTACCTCTCATGTTCATGATAGAATATTGTGAAATACTCAAAGAAATACAAGAAATTAGATTTAGGGCTGTAAGATTCACTGATTCAAATGGTTTATCCCTTTCGAGAGGGGGCAATTCTCTCCTTTACACTCTACATAACTTCCCAAAAGATCCCTAACTAACTCCCACTCCCACTTCTCTTATCTATGTCACTGACACGTGACACAACACCAGCCATTCATTATTCACCCCAAAAGACTAAAGTGTCCCTGTTTTCTTTCTTCTAGTGTAAGTCTTTCTATTTCACTGGTGGATATGCATCAGTTCACTTACTCTAGAAGGAAAATCAGTAGCATGAGTGGGCAGTGCAGGGGCATTTTGGGGATAAGACAAATATCTTTTACCTGGTATCTTTTGTGGGAGAGTCTAGCCTCTCGGAAGCTAGTTTTCCAGCATTAACAGAATTGCTTGAATTTCTACTTGCATATTTGAATGAAAGACATAGGGTCTGTTTGGTTGGATGGAATGTAATTATGAATGAGTCATTACATTCCATTCCATCATCACTTTGGTTGCCGTGTGGTGTGTGGTGTAGGAATGGAATGAATTTTAACAGTCTATTATTCTATACTTTATATTAGTTATAGTTAACAAACTTTATAATACTTATAAAACATAGAAATAAAGATAATTAAAGCTCATTAAAATTAAAACCCATATACCTAAGTCATTTTCAAAAGTAAAGTTGCAATTTAACTAAAATAATGATTTTTGTATAAAATGATTTATATCTCAAAAAAACAACATAAATAAATTGGGTTATACCAAAGACTATTATAATATTATAGAGATAATCATAACTGTTGAAAAACGTAACTCATTTTTTAATTTTTTTCTTGTATGCTCAGTTATTATGTGTTTCCCTACTTAACTAATTTTTTGCTTTTTTGCACATAATAAGTTAGTGACGGTTGTTTAATTTTGGAATGTAGGTTGTTGCATTTGTTCCACTTTTCTACATGTGCATTTGTACATACTACTCACTATTCAAAATTGGTATGCTGACATTTTATTCATTTACACCAAGACACACAAGCTCCGTTAGCTTGCTTATGATATGCTCGTAAGGTTTACATTCCTCTGTTTTATTTACATATCATATTCTGATAACCCCCCCCTTTTTTTTAAGCCGAACATTTATTTTATTTTTTTAACAATCTGCCTCAGGATGGTTGCACGCTATGCCCCTCCAATTTCCTTCAACTTTCTCAATCTCATTCGTCTTGATGGGAAGAAGACCATCTTTGAGGAGGTATAAACTTCCCTAGTCCCTACCTATCATATCATGCACTTCCTAAATTTCTTGTATCATATATAGTAAACTATTTCTTTATTTATAATTTTATTAACATCTTTTTGGCTAAAATAATATGGAATAGCGTGCAGTGGCCTTGTGGTTTACTTCTGTTTCTACTCTTTTTTTTTAGATATTAAAGTATTATTATATGCATATATAATATATTTCAGTGGTGTGTTTTAATTAACTTTGAATGCAGAGGATGGGAAATATCGACAATGCGGTGCCTTTCTTTGGGAAAGGATTCAACAAATTATATCCACTTATTATGGTTGTATATACGATCCTGGTTGCAAGTGGTTTCTTTCACAACATAATAAATTTTGTTGGAAAATGGAAGAGGATCGCATTACAAAATGAAGAAGAAGATGATCTTGATGGTGTTGATCCATCAGGATTAATTATTCTGCAAAAAGGTAATTTCTGGCTCTTGAAAATTCTTTTTGTATTTGTATTAATGGATATATGCTTCAAAATAATAAGGTGAAATGAAAGTAGAATCCAATAATAAACAAATCAATGAAAATACATTGCTATTTTTTTGCATCTTACTACAAAATAATAGAGGAAAAATTTGGAACAAGTTATGACTTAATACCTTAAGCCATATTTTACCGACTTTCTCTGTTAACGGATGTTTTGTGCATTAAGTAAGAATAAGAAAGAAGCTGTCCCTATTAAGAAAAAAAGAAACAACGCCTTAGACTTATATAGTTATATAAGTTTACTTGTATAAAATTAATTTATTCTTTATATTTGTATAGAGCGTGCTTGGTTGGAACAAGGGCACAGAATTGGTGAGGAGGCTGTTCCATTGGCAAGAGATTTCAGAGATACAAGCGTGGAGATAGAATCGGGAAACAGTAGCAGCATGGTATGATGTGACACTGACTCACTCCATACCAATCACAGTACATGTTGTAGTTGACAGATGTAATGTAATTTTCAGGGTAGATATGAGGTTAAATCGAAGCTGCTATCATCCGAAAGTTCATCTAGACATCAACGGAGCCGAGAAGCCATTACTAGCAAGTATGCTGCCATCAGGGAACAAACCAGACAAACTTCCAATCATAACATTAACAACAACATATCATCAACCAAAGTCTCCTTGCTTGATGCCAACACCATTACAGGATCACCATCATCTTCAAAACTATCATCAACATGGTCGTCAATGAAATCAGGCCTTCAAAATTGGAAATTAAACATAAATTCTAAACAGTACATTCCCTTGCTTCAAGTTGATGATTCCAAGTCTTCTTCTGATTCCCTGGATGAAATCTTCAATAAACTTAAACGACCCGTTGTTGAAGACCCAGATGCATGTGATTAGCTTCATAAAACATACTTCTAATCGATTAAAAAAACTTCATTAGATGTACATGTTTTAGAAATGTTGTATCCAAAGGTTATTTCACAGATGTGGATCAATATACAACATTTTTGTACTTCGGTAAGTATCACACTAGCGTTGAAAATGAAAATCCAATAGAGGCTCTATCAAAATCAAGATAAATAATATATCAAATGTACATAGTAGATTAGGACTAGGATTTAGTGCGCTTGTGTTAGCCGTTCAAAAAAAAAAAAAAAAAATCCATTTCGTAGAGGTCACCCTTGTTTGCCCATTGTAAGCCCTTTCGATATCAACGAAGGTGGTTAACGAAAAATTCATTATTTCATGCTTAACCCATTTCATGATGTCGGCCTAAATCATTTAGATTTTTAATTTTTATCGTGGTTCAGCACTTCTAACAATGATGCTCGGTTATAATAACAATGATGCTCGGTTATATGTTGGTAGCTATGAAAGGCGTTGTGAGAGGGGTTTCTTGAAATTATTGCAAGTACATATAAAAAAAAGGAATGAGTTAATAATATTAAAAAAATAAATAAAACTTGCATAAAAGTGGATATTTGATTTCAAATATTTCTTCAAAAGTTAACCATCTTGAAAACACATTCGAATAAAACAAAAATTTATAAATGACAAAAAAATTATATCAATTGGTTATTAAATATTTATTTTTTTAATCAATGTAATATCTATAGCCATTTTCAAAAGTTAACCTAAGAATTAAGGTTTTATCGAAAATAGAAACAAATGTCGTAGGACACCAAGCAAAATTATTGTTGGTATGCTCAAAACGATGTTTTTCTTAAATTACAATTACTTAGGTTAACCTGCAAAATTACCATTTCACTTACAAAATGCCTAAAATCACCGTTTCAAAATAATAATAATAATAATAATAATAATAATACAAACAACCAAAGTATTTATATTTTTACAAAATTTATAATATTTTTGAAGTTTTTTGTTATAGAAATTTTCAGAAAGTGTTTACACACACCAAAAGAGAGATCCATGTAAACGCATGCATATCCAAGAGAAACCCAAAAAATAGGGGTGTAATCAAGCCGAGGCGAGCCCGAGCTTGGCCAGACTCGGCTCGGGCTCGTTTAAGTTATGGGGGGCTCGAGCTCGTGAAGAATTATAAAGGCTCGGCTCAGGCTCATTTTTTGTCTGATGAGCCTAAATAAGCTTAAGATCGGTTCAAACTCGTTAATAAATTCGTTTACTAATACCCTACATCCCTAATTTCTCAACTATATATATTTTTAATTTCAATGTAGAAATATAATAATAATAATATATATTATATATAGGCTCGTTTAGGCTTGCGAGCTCACTGATTGAAGCTTGGCTCGAGCTCGTTTAATAAACGATCCTCATATTTAGGTTCGAGCTCGGCTCAGGCTCGTTTTAATTCGATCTTGAGTCAAACTTTTTGTCACACCCCCGAACCAGGATGACGGAAACGTCCGGGGGCGGGTGACGTCATTGTATTGTATCATCACAATTGAATATAATTGAAAACATAACAACCAATGACATACATTGAGATAAGATTCTTACATCGTTTACAAATTGTATTTGTTCACAAATCACACAAAAAGTGACAAAAATGTAATATTTAAGTTGCAGCAAAATATCCAACATCCATAGTCCAAGTACCTGCTTACTGTGTTCCTGAGAATACAATTTATGAGTCATACACACGAAAATGGTGTAGTTTTGATTTCGAGTGGTAGAAGAAGAAGAAGTTGTTGGACCTAGCTTGGTGTAGTTTTGATGATCACTCGAAAATGGATGGAGTTCTATGAGTCATACACACGGAAATGGTGGGTGAATGGAATGATCTTTAGCACAAATATGTAACAAACACTTGAGTTTCATAAGAAACTTACCTAGAATGCCTTGGATCGATTTCTATGATGGTGATGCTTGAAACTTGTGAGAGAAGGGATGAGGGAAGTTTTCTCTTGAGAGCAAAGTGGATAAAAAAATGTTTGAAATGTGTGGGAGGGGGGGTCGACCGATGCATAAGAGAGATAGGAGGGAAAAAGAGTTGACCTTGTTAGATGTTGATGGGATACTTACTTGGGTACATTGTGGTTAAAAACATTGGTGTATTTTTGGTAATAAGGAGGTGGCAAGGTATTTTCCTTATCTTTTTCCTCTTTTTTTTGTTCAAACTCCAACCGACCCCATAGGGTTCTCGGTCAAAAGGAGCCCAAAAATGATGGGTTTTGATTTTTGGCTTGGCCCAATAGGGGTTTTCGGTCCATTAAAACCTAAAGAAAAAGGCTTTCGGCCCAATGAGGCCCAAAGGAAATCTCTCGGCCCAATAAGGCCTAAAGAAAAGGCTTTCGGCCCAATAAGGACCAAAGGAATGCTCTCGGCCCAATAAGGTTCACGGAAAGAGTTTTCGGCCCAATAGGGCCTAATGAAGGGTTATCGGCCCAATAAGGCCCCATAGGGTGTTGGGCTGAGAATTCTTGGATTAAAGCCCAAAATGGATTGGTCTTAACTATTGGATCAAGTTTTTGGGCTTGTACGAGGCTTGATTCACAATGTATGCACGTATGATTTAAAATAACATTGTGGTTTGAATTTCACTAAATGGGGTGTTGCAAGGTTACATGGAAATTGTCTCGTACAAGAATCACAATCTCAACCCTACGTTGCTAGTTGTGACATCATCCCCGCGTTAGAGGAAATTTCGTCCCGAAATTTGTTCTGAAGTAGCCTTCAAGAACTAGAGAAGAGATGGGGTACTTTTGCATCATCTGGTCTTCGCATTCCCAGGTGAACTCCGGTCCTCGCTTGGCGCTCCATCAGACCTTCACAATGGGAATGCGACTTTGATTTGTTCATTTCACTTCTCTATCCATGATTTCAACTGGTTCCTCAACGAAATGGAGATTTTCATTCACCTCAATTTCGTCAAGCGGGACAACGAGAGTCTCGTCGAGATAAGCATTTCTTTAGGTTTGACACATGAAAGATGTTGGGTTTTGAGCACTATAACACTCCTATGGTGCACATGCAACCCTAAATGCTTTGGATCTATGTTTTTTGTAATTATACATGCATTTTCAACTTTTCCAAAGTATTCTCCTAACTAGCATACAAATTGTCAAATGAACAATATAATTAGTTAGATTACTTACCTTATAAGGACTTGTATTTCTTGACCTTTGAAAGGTTGAGCACCTCAAGTGTGATGCCTCTAATGGTTCACAAACACCAATATGTAAGAGGAGGCTTGATAGAATCGGTTACTTGCATAAAATCAATGTCGCTCTCCAAGAAACTTGTGGCATATGGTGTCACCGATTTTGGCTATAGGGGGTTCTATTTATAGTGTGGCAAATGCTAGTGTCACAACTGGCATTTTAGCTAGGAAATTCTATCCCCGTGTAACCATTCATCTATTGTGAAACATATACTCTAAGTAAATCTCACTCAATGCTCATTTAGATTCACCATTCATGTTCATCAAAGAGTCTGAAGCCCTAAGATCCATGGTTTAAGTCCATATTGGACTAGGAGTTCCTTATTAGGCCTAATGGACCAATAAGTACCCAATTCAACTTTATTGGACTTAGAAGCCCTATTTGGATCCTAATTGGACCCAATTCATAAATCTAAAACAGTTTGGACCATTTGGGTCTAGAATGATTCATTCTAACCCTAATGGGCCTTATTGGGCCATAACTAATCCAAGAGCCCAATGGGCTGAAAATTTTTATGTTTAGGATCCAAATATCCTAGCTAAAGTTAATGGGCCCAATCTACTCCACCCTTTCTTCTTGGCCCAAAATCTCGGCCCATGTATGAACAAAAAAAAGAGGAGAATTAGGGGGGGGTTGACTTTGGAGGTGCCACCTCCATAATATCCAACATGCATCAAGGCTTAAAACCACCATGCAACCAAGCTAGTCACCTCTCCTCTCTCTCTCTCTCTCTCTCTCTCTCTCTCCCCACTTCTCTTCTACTCTCGGCCGAAGACAACAAACACACACACACACACACACTACACCACACCAAATTCTCTCAATTTCTCTTAAGAATCATCTATCTTCTTCCTCCAAATTCTCAAGATTTGCTTAGGTTTCAAGAGGATTTTCACAAGATAATCATCATTCTTGGTAAGCCTTTACACATGCAAGTTTTATAACTCCATCTTCATGATAGATCACTTTTTTAAAAAAAGTTTTTGGTGATCATACTCCTAGAATCTTCTAAGTTCGAGATCTACTCAAGGAGTTGCTAGGGCCGAAAATCACTTCATCTTTTCCACTTCTTCTTCAAAAACCGAAACATCAAGCAAAAGGTGAGTTCATACCCCCTTGTTTTTGGTTTTCATATGATTTTTGGGGGAGAATGCAAGTAAAATGTGTAGATCTATGTGTTATATGCATGTTTTGTGTGAATTCTTAGTTTGTTTGGTAATAATGGGATGGATCTTAACAAATCTCTAAACTTTAAGTATTATTTAACAAAGATCTACGAGCTATGACATGATATACATTACATTATCAAGCCAAAAGTGAACACATGTTTAAGATGCAAAAGAATTCAACAAAAACCTTGTTAAAGGTCAAAATTGTCAAGAAAACAAAAGATAAGGGTAAAAAGTGAAAATTTTGTTTTTAAAAGGGCCAAACAGGTCCTACATGTATAAAAAAGGTATTTTTATGCTAAACATACTTTAAAAAGGGCCAAAAATGCAACTTTAAGCTTATTGGGCCAAAACTTTTGGGCCTCACGGCCTTTGGGCCCAATTTGCGAAAAAAATGAAGTTTTGGGGTTAAAAATGTTATTTGGCCAAAGTTTGAGTTATAAATGTAAATAAACCAAATTTAGAGGTGAAAATATCATTTATTTTCAAATTGGACCAAAAATGTAAAGTTTTCTAAAAAGTGGGCCGAAAGTGTAAATTTTTACAAACAAGGGGCAGAAAATGTACTTTTCTGCAAAACAAGGTTCTAAATGTGAAAATTTAACTTTTTGGGCTAAATCCTTGAAATTCCAAACATTTGGGACAAAATTACAAATTTTTATAAATA